TCGCTCTCCCGAGAAAAAGGGAGAGCTTTTGGGACTCTACTCCTATCCAGGAGTACTCACCTCGACCCCTTCTCCCGGGGCACAAGGTTCCAAGCCGCTGAACAGCTGCTGACCGCTGTTCATGCTGGCTCTGACGCCTTCCCAAGCGGACGGCTCCGAAAAGAGCCGCCATCGGCGCGCCGTCCCACCGGAAGTCCTGTCTAACACTGGAGGTTTTTAAGAAGAGATTGGACAGCCATTTGTCTGAAATGTATAGGGTTTCCTGCCTGAGCAGGGGTTAGACTAGATGACCTCCAAGGTCCCTTCCAACTTTATTATTATTAATATTATTATTAATATTAATATTAGTACATGAATCATTCCTATTCTGCAACTGTCATAATTACCTAGTGTGTTCATAATTCCTTGAATGTGACGTTTTATATACTTGTCAAGGATGTATCATATTCTTAATGGTGCAGATAGCTAATGCTGGCATTTCTTTTTTCTCAAGGTGAAGTAATAAAAATAACTGATGTGAAAGACTTCTCATTATCATTATGGCTCATATTTTTAATCTGTGTTTGTTATTATGTGGCTGTCTTCCCTTTCATTGGACTTGGAAAGTAAGTGCATGATTATCAAGAAATCAGATTTATTTGGCTGTTATAAAATGTTTATTATATTTCTATCAGACTTTTAAGTATGTTTGTGTATTTCAGTGTGGTTTTTGCTTTTTAAAAATGTGTTTGCCTTTAATTAAACAGAAAAGAAAAATGAAAAACAATATAAAAGACAAACAAGGAAAAATGCTTTTGACTTTGAACCTAAATTATGGCCTTTGCTTATGCTTGATAGAGGATTATGGGAGTTGAAGTCAAACACCTGGAGATTCTGATTTGACTTTACTCATCCAAGTATTTCCTATTTAGATATTGCCTGATTTTTGTACCTTTAACATTGGATGGAACATATGGGCCTCATGATAGTGGAGGGGTAGGTAGATGGTGCCTTTACCTAATGTGGATAGCAGTTCAGCTAGTCTTTCACTTATGACTGGTTGAAGTTATGACCTACCAGAGAAAGGGGACTTAGGACCAGATCTGAAATTCCAACATCCCTTTAAGCTTCACTTAACGACTGAGTTTCCAGTCCCAATTGTGCTCACTAGACAAGGATTGCCTGTAATGTGACTGCCTTTCCAACAGTGTTGCTTACAGTTATTTTTATGCATTCTATCTAAAGTGATAGGGTGGGACTAAAACTCCCTGAGTTCCTACTCAATATTCAACAGCCATGTACTGTATGCTACACATGTTGCTTCCTTCTCTAGAAGACATCAGGGAGACTTACATACAATGCAGAATAATTTATTTAAGTCAAGAATGTTTTTGTGATTTGTCACTAGTCCACAGTAATGTTCATCTGTTGCTAGATATGCAGATTACTTACAGCCTAAGCTGATACAGAACCACAATAATATCCTTGATTATTGTTTTACAGAGTTTTCTTCATTGAGAAATTCAAATTTTCTTCTCAAGCAGCAAGTGCGATTAATAGGTCAGTGTTATTAATTTTAAGTTGCTTTATTGTTGCATTAACCATTATTTCCATGAAAGAAGTCTACTTCAAGCTTGTGCTTCCAAAAATCTTTAATGTCTTCCTTAAAATAAGATCATGAAAGGAAGTGCAAAATTTCCTTATTATTGTGCTATATGCTCTAAGTTAGTTTTAGCCTTAAAAAAATCTTCAGAGTTTTGTGAGTTTATTGATAGGAATCATTGTATATCTCAATGTATCAAGTCATGGATAATTCAAAGGTGTCCTGGGGAAAAATGAGGGTGAAGGACAGAGGAATTATTCTGTAGTGGGAAAATTGATCTCATTGCTTTGACATGACTTTTCTGTTTTCCATTTCAGCATTGTGTATGTCATATCGGCCCCAATGTCCCCTATCTTTGGAATTCTAGTAGATAAATTTGGAAGGAACATCACATGGGTTATGTGTGCAGTGGTGGGAACTCTAGCCTCTCACATTATGTTGGCCTTTACTTTCTGGAACCCTTGGATAGCAATGGTAGGTATTTCATTCAAGTTTATATTTTGTGAAATAAAGTATGTCAAGTACTTTGCCCTTAAATGTGCATCCCTGTTCATTTGGATATCAACTCCCATAATCCCAAACATAAGGCTATGCTAGCTGGATGAGTATGCTTCCAGCAGATTTAGAGGAGCACAGCTTAATAAAACTGTTCAACATTTTTGATCACCTTCCTGTACAATCCAGATGCCAAGCTTTCTATAGCATTGGCAAAACATGGTCTTCCAAATATTGCTGAACTTCACTGTCCATCAAACTTCGGCAACACGCCTGGGGTGTGATAATGAGAGTTCCAGTCCCATAAGATCTGGATGGCTTCAACTCCCCCATACATGTGTACTGCCAGTCTAGATATTAGTGATAATGGTGCATCTAATGATGTTAGATACTGTTGGCTGTTGCATTATTTAGCTCAACAGCTGCACTTAGTTGCTGTTTAACTGCAGAAAAAACAAATGAAGCAGCTTTACAACTGGGTAACAGAATAGAAGAATGACATATTTATTAAGCCCATACAGTTTGGTCTCTTAGGAACTTTGGTTTGCTCACTCTTAATGCCTAGTATAAATGCTTTTTTTCTCTTACAGTGTTTGCTTGGAGTTGCTTATTCCTTGCTTGCCTGTGCCTTATGGCCTATGGTTGCTTTTGTTGTCCCCGAACACCAGCTGGGAACTGCCTATGGATTGTAAGTAACAGATCTTTGGATCTCGTTGCATGTCATCTTTAAACTTCTGATCATAACTGTTCTATAGTCCCCTGCCATTTTATTT